AAAAGTAAAGCTTAAGCCATTCATTCTCACTTTTTAAATAAAGCGCCATTTCGTGGCCATTAACACATTTTTTCTTAGGCCGGTAAGATTCCATAACTTTGGAAATATTCAATCCCACGGCTCTTCTCTAGTAGGCAGATCCCAAATTTTAATCTTTTTTTTTTTCCCTCGAAAACGCGTGATAGAGAGAGAAAAAGGAGTCTTTGCTCAAGAATAATAACTAATACGTGTAATCAAGGTTACACCAAAACCAGCGTGTCTGAAGAAGACTGTTCCATTTTGGTCAAAATTTACGCATTTTGGCATCTTTCCTTTTATAAGCAAAGATGGTCGACGGGATTTTTCGTAACTACCGATAAAACGTACTTAAGGTTTACAAATACCAAAACTTATATTCATTAACTAAAAATAAATACTTAAGAGGTAAATACAAGGTCGACCGCAATTCCTCCCTCCAAATGTGAAATTTCCTGGGAGGGAAAATATATTCTTGTAGAATGAAAGTGGGTATATTAAATTTCGGATACTCTCTTCCCTGTAAATTTACATACTTTGGTGCTGATTGTTCAGAAGTATATCAGCATTACAGCGATGCATCATACGGATGGCTACTAGTAGTTAATCTATCGAAATAAACTATTTCTAAATGTTTACAGTTTTTTGCATTACTCTTAAGAACTACGTGTCAAAAAATCAGAGTTCAATAACCAGTTTTTAAGAAATATTGCAAGACAAATGCAAAGAAAAATTCATCCCCTTATTTGAGTCAGTTATAGAAATTTTAGTATGGTGTATTTAATTATGGTAAAGCACACTAGGGCTATCTGCCTAAGGGGAGGGATGCCTTCGTGGAGGACTTTCTAAGGGACTCTGGCTCGTATACACGTTACACATGGGCAAAACCACGAAAACACTCATGCAGCCAGCCCGTTCGCGGGATTCGAACCTCGGACCGAACTACCAGTGTTCAGCGACTTTACCGCTCGGCCGCTGGTGGGCTAGAAATTTTAGAATTGAATGCATAGGAACTCGTCCGTGAACTAATCCGCTATTACTTGCCTCCAAAGTACATAAGGGCTCCCATTTAGTTCCATCCCAATTCTGATAGAGATCTCTGTTCAGATGGGATTTTAAGATTTTATATCCCTTATGTAATAAAATTAACATTCTTGAGTGAAAAATGTTTGTACTTTAAATAAATCATTATATGTATTTCAGTATAGAAAACACTTGATAAAACACATAACTAATAACTTGAAGAAACATTTAATGAAAAATTAATTCGGGCATTTTTATAACAGTATCTTGCTAAGCGCATTAAAAAATGCGAAAATATTTTTAATGTATGTTTCTTTCTTACATTTTCCATTCTATACGAAAAAACATTAATGCAACTTGTAGAAGTTTCAGAATTACAAATCTCATATAAATTTTTAATTTAAGTATGTATAAAAATTTATATTAATGCATAAAATATTTGCAAATTTTAAGTATTTAGTAAATAACATTTAATTTTCCTTTAATAAACATCAACAGCAGAAAAATATTTTTTAAAAGTATGGAAAGTATTTTATTCATAAAGTACAACAAAAATTGTACTATATATGTTTAGTTCGTAAAATGTTATTTAAAAGGGGCTATGAAGTTTTTCTTCACTTTTGCTAAAAACGGAAAAGTATTACTGGAACTCGAGTGAAAAGCTTTTTAAGAGTAAAATGCCAACTACCTCAGCTTCTCCTTTTTTATCTCGATTTACACCTAAGCTGCAAAAGTGTTTTGAATTACGACACATGGAACTGTCTTTTCTAAGTAACCCTAAGTCGATTTAGTACCTTAAATCGCCTTCTTCCATTAGCTCTTACGGCCTTCACATGTTAGAGTTTTCTTAACGGATGCCTCATACTTATTTTTTCGCCTTTATTTCTTGTGTATCTATTCATCCTTTTGTTTGCTTCCTTATTCCAAGTTCTTAACCAACTTCTTTGTGTTACTTGTAAAATATTAAAAAGGTATAATGCTCCTCAAAATGCTTTTCTTACTCTAGAATGCATTTATAAATAATTTTTCAAAGGTAAGCTAAAATAGCTTTCAAGTGTTGAAAACTACAATAAAAAAATACGATGTGCGAACCACATGACCTTCTTGTGCAGCCTATTAAATTATACAGATTTTTTGCTGCACTTGATTTAAACTTATTTCCTCGAATCACTTCACTAATTGATCTCTCAAAGGAAGTTGAAAATGATATCAAAATCTGTAAATTGTGATATTAAGTATCCCTTGGCAGAGATATTTAATGTCAAACATTTTATAATTTTACTTTTTCATAACGAGTGTAAAACTTTCTCAAATTTAAATATAGAAATCCGAAGACTGCATGAAAAATTAAAATCAATTATTTGTCCGAAATTAATTAAAATTTAAGATAGCTAATAAATGAATATTTTCGTCATTTAAAACACTTCTGTAATTGGAAGTGTATGACAGGGCTTAACGTTTTTGAAAATAAAGGCTGGGTAAGGAAGATGAGTATATTCATACACACACACTTTTGATACTGCCGACATTATACATTTCGTTGAGAAAAAGCAAATTTATATATATGCATAAGTTTAACCGCTCCGGCCGTAACCATTAGCCCAAAACAGTTGGACCAATTTATTGACGAAATAGGGTGTATGGGCAAGAATCATGTAGTAGGGAGTTTTTTTTCCTTTCTTCCATCTTTTTTTTCCCTCACTGCGTTCAAAGAGTACAGATTTAAGGACGCAGAAAATTAATTCTAAGTAATCTAAGATTATATGCTGATCATCATTTGTTTGATTACATAGTGTTTAATTTTGTGCTTATATACATTTATTTACAAAAATATCAGTGTTTTCAAAGCTTTATTTTGCTATATATGCATAATTTTATGATAAAGAGTAATAAATAACTATTATTGCATAATAATAATTATCATTACATTTATTTAATTATTAGTATATTTATTTAATTATATGTCTTATTTTATAATTTTCATTATAATGTATTCTAATACCATAATTGTTGTAATTGATTATAAGAATTTTACGACAATATATAATAATAATGCTATGATTCATAATTATTATATATCTTTTTTATCTTTGAAATAGAGTATTTGCACAATAGCATACTGAAAGAAAGAATTTCTTAATAATTAGTTATAACAAGCATATAGTAATAAAGGATTATTATATTGTTTAATTAATTATAATAATTATATTTTTTGGAGGGGGCTAAAATCTAATGCATTTATACTAGAGCAGACCCTTAAAACAATTTTTTTAAAAAAACGAAATCTTCTAAAATAAAAATTCAAATGTCATCAGGAACCTACTTCTAGCAGGTGGCTTTTTTTCATTAAAAGTTATTTCTACTAAAAATTGTTGTATCTCTCAATAGAATTCTAAAAGGTAAAAAGAAATCTCTTACCTTTTCTTTCACCCGGGAGCCGAGCTTGTTCCATTCTAATTCTTATTCGATGAAATATCTAAATAATTCCAAGCTTTTGCATAAAAACTGACACTTCTGTATAAATAAAGATATTATATTTAGATACATTTTATATACAATTATTAGATTACATGAAATTACGCGCTCTCCAGCTAACAGTCATCGAGTTCGGATTCAGAGTTCTAACTACGTTCTTCCGTAGGATTATTCTCGAGTTTAGATGTAATGGTGCTGATAGTTCGGAGTTTAGATGTGGAGGCGCTGATAGTTCGGAGTTTAGATGTAACATCACCTCCCACCATTGAGATCCGACGATGCGGAGGAACTCAATACACACAGGTCCAGTCGATGAGGAGGCCGAACAACTCGTCCAGCTCTGGTCATCACTCGAGGACTTGAGGCAGGTTCTGGAATACTAGCAGCCTGATCAGCCTGACCAGTTGCATGGTCGTTTCTATCTCGAGGTGCTCTGTCGGGGAACGGAGGGCCAACGGATTCGGAAGTAGAGATCTCCAACGGGAAAAGCCGGGGCACTGGACGAAGCAGAATACCATTTCTTGTCTTGACCCTCGCTAGTCTAACTATTCCGTCTTTACTGGGGAAAAGCTCGACTATCTTGGCTAAAGGCCAATGTATGCGTCGTCTCTGGCTGTCTTCCAACAGAACGACATCGCCTACTTGCAATTGTTGAAATTTTCCTTTCTTTATTGCCTGTTGTCTCAACTGACCAAGATATTCATTACGAAATCTGTTTCGTAGATCATGTCTTATTCTCTGTCGGTATTTGGCTCGACGGTTTAGTTCTTTGGAATCTACGTAGTCCATATCAGGAACTCCTGATGACGGCAATTCTTGCAGAAACATCATAGGGGTCAGTGGTGATGGATCTTGATTATCCTCTGATACGTATGTGATAGGTCGCGAATTAATCACTTGTTCACAGTCACATAATATAGTGTATAATTCTTCATAATTTAAGGACGTTCGACCTAACACTCTTCTTAAATTTCTTTCACCATTCGCACAAGCCTCTCCCACCAACCTCCCCACCAGGCGGCGGTCGGAGGGTTGAACTTCCATCGTATCCTTTGGATAGAAGCAGCTGAACATATGGCGTTCCAATTAACTTTCTTAAGAACACTGTTAGTCCCTACAAAATTAGTTCCGTTGTCGGAATATATCACATAAGGTCTACCTCTTCTGGCAATGAATCTACGTAAAGATTGGATGAAAGTTTCTGTAGATAGAGAAGTAACTAGTTCGAGGTGAATGGCTCTATAAATGGCACATGTATACAAGACTATCCACGCTTTAGACCCCTCACGGAGATAGAGAGGACCCGCTAGATCTACACCGACGACTTCAAAAGTCGCCCCTTCTCTGACTCGATCTTCGGGTGGAAATCCTGGCTCGACTTCCACTCTTTGTGAAACAAATCTTTTACATCTTACACATTTTCTGATAATATTTCGAATACTTTTTCCTGGATTTTAATATCCAAAAGTTTTCTCTAAGATTTGTCATTAAAGTGTGCTGACACCAGCATGCTGGAGTTCTAGATGTTTCTCGTAAATTAGTCTCTCAACAAGAATATGTTTTGAAGGTAAAATGATAGGATATCGGAAATTTTCATTATCTTGACGCTGTAGGACGTTCGTTTTGGCTCTTAAAATTCCATTTTGGTCTACGATTGGTCTCAGCGCACGAATGGCGGGATCGTTTATGCCTGTAAATGATTCTTTCTGTACCAATCTACAAAGTGCCTTTTCAGCATTCTCCAATTCATCAACTGAGACATCAGGAGTGAGGTTTTTATCTTTGTTCTTTAAATTGTGATAAAACCTGAAAATCCAAGCGATCATTCTCACGGTTTTTCTATATGAAGAGAAGTATTTGTAGTACCGGTCCAAATTGTCTCCATGATCTAGAAGAGTCAGAATCGTTTTCCTTTTTTCCTTGTTTATAAGTTCTTCATCAGGCTTTTCTTCTACATGGGGCCACTCGTCTTCTGGTAAGTAAAGCCACGATGGGCCCTCCCACCATGCCGATTTCTGTAATTGCTCAATAGTACATCCTCTCGATGGGAGATCCGCTGGGTTTAAACTTCCAGGTACATGCCTCCAGTCAGATATTCTGGTAAGCGATCTTATTTCTTGTACTCGATTGTGAACAAACGTACCCCATGCTTGATCCCTTCTTATCCACCCCAAAGCTGTAGAAGAATCACTCCAGAACACTGTTCTACAATTCTTAAGTTTCAAATCTGATAGAATTGTTTTGGCAAGCCTGGCACCTATCAGACAGGAAAGAAGTTCAAGCCGTGGAATCGTAAGTTCCTTAATAGGGGCTATTCGACTTCTCGCGCTTACTAACTGAACCTTTACACCTTCGATGGTTTCAGCTCTTAAAAATGCACATGTGGCATAGGCTCTTTTACTAGCATCCGAAAAAACGTGGAGCACTACGGTATCTTCGTTTTCGTAATCAATATTTAACCAACGAGGAATTTCAATCTGAGATAGCAGAGGCAATTGGTTCAACCAAGTCCCAAACTGCTCACTTAGGGGAAGAGGAAGATCTTCATCCCACTTAATCTTCTGGTTCCATGTTTCTTGCAAAATTAGCTTAGGAATTACAGTTATCGGTGCAGTAAAGCCAATGGGATCAAAAATTTTCTGGGTAATTGACAAAACTTTTCTTTTGGTAATAGGTTCCCTCAAGTTAAATGTTTCTTCGATCTTGCAACTCAAACTATCTTTTTCTAAATCCCATACTAATCCTAATACTGGGACAACTTTCGTCTTGCTCTCTATCTCATCGATCATGTCAATGCGAAAATTTGATCGCCAACATCTCAAATTGAAATGCCCTGAAGCCAAAATCAATCTTGCTTCTTGAACGAAATTTTCGGCTTCATCTACGTGATTTAAGCTAATTAACGAATTATCGAGGTAAAATGAATCCTTTCAAAATATTAGAAGTTTCTACAAATTTTTCTGGGACTGTAGTCAAAAGGTGACTAAGTGTAGCGGCTAGCAGAAACGGACTTGATGTGAGTCCAAAAACAACTCGGTTATGTCTGTAAATTTTAAACTTATGTTGATTATCGAACCATAGAAACCTTAAAAAATCTCTATCCTTTTCTGCTATTTTGATTTGACAAAAGGCCTTTTCGATGTCAGATGACACTCCTATGCGATATTTTCGAAAACGATTCAATATACGTGGAATAATTTCTATTAAATTTGGTCCTTTACTCAAACAATCATTGAGAGAGGGTGAATTCTTAGAACGTGCAGATGCATTGAAAACAGGCCGTATCTTTGTAGTTTCACTAGACTCTTTTATTACAGGTCTGTGTGACAAGTAGTGCACTCCTTCCTCCTTTTCCTCAGTTACTACCTCAATAATGTCCTTCGCTTCCCACTCATCAAATATTTCTTCGTAATCTTTTCTTCTGCGTGTGTGTTAATTAGTTTACTTTCGGTTTTGACGAGGTGTCTTTCTGCCACAGTACGGTTACTGGATAAGACGGATTTATCTAAAATAAAGGGTAAGGTTACTTCATATCTCCCTGAGCTATCTCGTTTTACACTTTTTAAGAAATGTTTTCGGGTTTCTTCTTCCAAGGACACTTTTCGTTTTGTTTTTCCTGACTTGAAATCCCCAAGGTGTCTAAACGCCAAAGATTGGACAAATTTGTATCGGAAACATGTAAGGATAAAAAAAGAACGGACAGGGAACTCGACGTATTCGCATTCTCTTTAATCTTGCCCATTAAAGTCCAGCCTAACTTGGTCTCAAAGGCTACGTAATCCCCCGCAAAATGTTCAATTCTTTCAGTGAACAATTGTGCTGCGGTGTCCGCTCCTAACAGCATATGAATCTCTTCCGGATTTTCTTGAAACAGACAGAGATTTCCATTCACATGATTGTCGTTGATAAGGATTCCCCTTTTTTCCATTACTTTAATTAATTTTTCGTCTTTGATCTTAGGTAGTGACGAACAAATTTTCCTCTGGTCTAGTGCTTCGATTTTACACCTGTACTTTCCATCCAAACTAGTTAAATCTATTTGATAACGATTATGATCTTCCGAAACTTCTACACCCCCAAATAACCCATGTTTAATTCTTTCAGTTCCTATCTTTTCTAATTTCAACGTTTTAGCAGCATATTGACTTATGTACGTGTTCTGACTTCCGGTGTCTATTAGCAATCTTAAATAACCCTTTAAGGTTTTCCCAGCTACCCCTACGACCAAAGTTTGTAAATAAACTTCAGAACGGTTGCTTTGATTCGAAAGTACTTTATTTTCAACTTCCTGGACAGTTTTGATCGTTCCCTTTTTACTCTCGGAATTAATTCTGTTGCACATAATCGTAGAATGCTTAGAGTGACAATGGGAGCAAAAAATGTTAGAATCACAAAATTTGCTGATGTGACCCTTATTTTGTAAACACCTAAAACAAGTGCCATTTTTGCGTAGTATTTCAACCTTTTCGTCATTAGTTAGTTTCTGGGCAATAGGACATTTATGGCTTGAATGGGAAAAATCTCCGCAAAAAACGCATGCCTTAATCAATTTTTCTTTAATACCCGTGGACACTAAATCAGAAGCAGAAGAAGCTTTCGTTTCTAATTTATTGCTCTTTCCATCGCTGAAATGACGAGTGTTTATTTTCTGGACTGCATACGCAGACTGACGGCGCCCACTATTCGCTGTCGAATGCTCTGAATTCTTATTTATGACTTCCGCCCTTTCGCGTGAATCTAAACATTGAGCTATAATCAAGCACAGGCTTTTAATATTACAATACGCACTTCCATTACTCATTCTGTTAATCTCAAGCAAAATATCTTGGGGAAGTGATTTCAGAATTATTGGACATAACACACTTGATAAATTCTCGAGAGACTGACCCAAATTTTCTAAACATCTTAATTCGATAGAAATATTATCATAAAATTTTCTAAAGGCGCGAACATCATTCGAGATTTTCAACGGTTTAGTGTTCAAAATGTTATTTATGTGAGTGTAAATGAGCACATCTGTTTTCGCAAATCTTTCTTTTAGAAGATTATTGGAATAGCTAATTAAGTTTTATTAAATTCTTTAAAATTAAGAAAACAGATGCTTCTATTATTTAGTTAAATTATTATTTATTTTCTTAGCAAATCTTGTACAAACTTTTATTCATTGTGAAAGAAGCAGGGAAAGGGAGGCAATTTTCGCCAAGTCATGATTTCGCGCGCTTTAGAATGTTCGAGAAAGAATTTTCATTGTTAGTTGACCTTAAGAGAGGAAAGTACGTGACGGAAAGGTCAAAGGTTGCTACTTGTCTTTCAATGTAAGTCATTCAGGTTTTTGGCGATTGAGGGTCCGGTTGTTGGCTAAGTGAAGAAGGGCGCGCATGCGCGATCACCCTTTTTTTCCGCATTCTGGAGTTGAAAACGAAGATTTTGCCATAATTAAGGGGGCGATAAGTGAAGCCATAGTGGGAGCCCGTTTTGTGAAGGAGACGAAGGGAATTCGAGTTGGATACACACTTACTTTTTGGCTGACTCTCTGACTGACTCGCTGATTTTTTGGGCTTGCTGGACTTGTTTTTGAAAATGCTTGAAGGAAAAATGTAATTGACGAAGAGATGTTTTCCGGCGGGGAGCGGCAAATATGCTCCCCGGCCGCGTTTTGGTTAAGAGGCGAGACTCTCTTACACACTTACTCTTGGACTCGCTTAGGCACTCACTGCTTGGATTCGCTGACTTTCGGGCTTGACGGACTTGTTGACGGAGACTGAGAAAAAACTTGTGGGTGTTGCGAAGGAGAAAGGAAAAGATTTAGTCGGCATCGAGCAGTGCTTCCGGCGGGGAGCGGCAATTATGCTCCCCGGCCGCGGGTTTTCTCAAAAATGCGAAGAAAAAAAAACTGTTGAGCGAATAACAAAAAAATTAACAGAGACTTGAGTCTCTATCTGTATCGGCAAAGTCAGGACGATGTCCTCTGAACTCCGACTTGAAAACAGAAGGAATTATGTCACCTTAGTCAACTGGAAGCCTGCGTTAGCCGTTCTCTAAAATGCCTAGCTTAATTGTCTACGTTTTCCTTGGTGGAGCTGAGAGTCTAGGCAGACAGCCGTGCGGTGTAAGCTGTTCTCTTGCTTCCAGTGGGAATAATTTTCTTCTATGGAAACCAGTAGCAGGCGTAAGATTTGACGGTATAGCTGATGTAATTTATTGTCGTGCCGTTCGAGTCTCTGTCTTGCGGATTTGCCAAGTGACGTAAGGATAGAGCTAAGATATGAGCTCTCCTCCACTTCAAGATGCCCAACCAGATAAGTGTATATATTTTTTTTTTTTTTGGTTTTTCCTCTCACGAACGTTAACAACATGGTGCCGGCTCTGCTTATGAAGGATGAATCATACTGATTTTGGAATTTTATTTGTATACTACTGTTTTAGAAGTGTTAAATTTTGGTGCTAGGATTATTAGAGTTTGATTTGTGTTTGCTTATTTGTTAATACGAGAGTGATAAATTTTGAAAATTGTGTGAATTTCAGGAATTTTGGACTTTAACGTTAGCACACAGAATTGAACTTTAAAGTTAGGAAAAATATAATTTTAATGTAGGAGAATAGGATATGTACATTTTACTGTTGAAAAATCCTTGAGTGTTTTCTGGATGATTTTGATTTTCGACGTACTGATTTATGATACAGATGGAAAATGAATTATTTCACGATAATCCTATGCTATTTGTATATCCTTGTATACAAGTTTCGAGTGCTTGTCGGTAAAACTGGACTCATTTGTTGAGCACTATTAAGAGCGAGACTTAAAGGACTCTAATTATTTTACTGAATGAGACAAGCCATAGCTATGCGTAGCTAGAAATTTTTTTTTTTGTGTGTTTTTTGCTAATTATTTAACCTAGAATCTTGTGAAATGTGTAATTGTGAGGGGTAACGTTAGAGAAATTTTTGATTTTTTTAATTGATTGAATAATATTTTGTGAAATTAGGTAATGTTTTCATGATTCTCTAGGTATAATTAGCTTTTGATTTACAATGTTTTGATATGATCCCA